CAGAGCTTCCAGAAGAAATGCAGACATTTCGCAAATATATACAATTGTCTTTGGATAAAACCAGACAAGAAATTAGAAAGCGTGTTTCCCAGGTAACACATTTATATACTAATATTTTATTCTCTTTGTCAAATTACAAAGGTCTAAGAGTAGGAAAACTCTGAATATTTAAGAAATTAATAGATTTTATTTTTAATCTGATATTAATTCTTTTTACTCTAAATGTTATTTTTAACTTTTTAAAGATCACAGTTGATAGCAAAACAAGAAGAGCGTTTCACAGGTGGAAGAAGAAACTACTGAAATAGAACTTGCGTTTATAAATAGCAATTTCGAAAGAGATATTATGAGACCTAACTATCAATTTTGTGCTTCGTTTAAATTCGTGAAGTTGAGTTTCCAAAGAGGAAAGCAATGTTTATTTTGAAAATACAAAAATGAGGCAAAGGGTCAAAAGTGGAGGAGGCAGGTCTTCAATCTGTCTTATGTTAAAGCCACAATTACTGACCTAAACATACCACAGTATTCCTTATGCGAAAACAACACATTCTTAGTTACCATTCTTAGTACAGTCACCGTAATACCTCAAGTCTCTATGAAGTTCTAACTAGTTCCCATGTGTAGAATTTGTCTGTGGTGGGAATAAAAATAACAAATTTAAAAAAGATGAAAGCTCATCATAACAATTTCAAGGAAAATACTTTTAGAAAAAAAGTAAGGAAAAGCTACGTTCCGGCGGTGATAAAGTGACTGAAGCCGAGATACCAGGTCAAGACCGATAAGTTTGCAAATTCTTTTTTTTTTGTGCGGGAGGGGGGAGAATTTTGTCAAAAATCTCTAGATATAAAACAGATTGTTAGGTACCTATTCTATTGTAATGGACTCTCCTATAGATAAGTAGGAGTAACAGTGGTAAGTCTGGAGAACGATGCTGAGCGGTCTCTGACTGCGCACGCCTTCTGTCGAACTTTTCTGCGTTATCGGCTTCGAAGAGGAACCCGGACGAAGCCATATTTGCCGAAGGGCAGTCTCTGAAGGTTTCGTCTGGGGGGAGGCAAGGTTTCGTCCGGGGAGGTGGGGCCTGAACCCGTCTAATCGGCTTCGGAGAAACCTAATAAAAGGCTATATTCGTTTTCCGTGGGTGAAATGATTTTTTTGGCCGAGCCGTTAGCAGAGAGGAACGGACGGGCTCGGAGAGGTTTCGTCCGGGGAGGTAGACAATAAAACCGGCCTTGTGCCATATTCGTTTCCGTGGGTGAAATGATAAATACCGAACGGTGTTGAGCGGTCTGACTGCGACACGCCTTCTGTCGAACTCTCTGCATTGGCAGAGAGGAACCCAGACGAGGCTATTTTTTGCCGAAGGGAAAACCCTAATAAAACCGGCCTTGTGCTATATTCGTTTTTCGTGATAAATACCGAACGGTGTTGGGGGAGGTAGACGGGGCCTGAACCCGTCTAATCGGCTTCAAAGGCTATTTTTTTGGCCGGGCCTACGGGCTCGAACTCTCTGCTTCGCGAAGAACCAGACAAAGGCTTTGCCGAAGGGCAAAGTTTCGGGATACCCGTCTTAAAACCGGCCTACGGGCTCAGAAAACCCACAATAAAACCGGCCTTGTGCCATATTCGGTCCTCGTGGGTGGAACGATAAATAAATAGCGGTTCTGAACGGTGTTGGGCGAGCTTTAAGTGAACCCGTCTAATCGGCTTCAAAGGCTATTTTTTTGGCCGAAACCCTAATAAACCGGTATTTGTTTCCGTGGGTGAAATGAAATACCGAACGGTGTTGACTGGCGGTCTCTGACTGCGTTAGCGAGAGAGGAACGACGAGCTTTCGAACTTTCTGCATTAGCAGGGGAACCCAACCATCACAACCCGTCTAGATTTGCTGCATCGTGGGTGGAACGATAAAATACTGAACAGTGTTGACTCATTGACTCTTATTTTCCAAGTTCCTAACGTTTTGTACGTCGGACCTAATTTAGGACGACTTATTAGAAATACAAGCCTCTACTGTGAAAAATACTCCACAACACAGATGCAATAGACTATCAATATTCCATGCACCGTCGAAATGGTTGAATGCATTTTCTTTCTTTCTCCTAGTAGCAGTAGTAGTAGTACCTTGAATTTGAATTAGATGAAGCATTGTCAGAGGTTATTAATTTTAAACTTATTTATTATGACTTAATTTGAGTTGCTTTTCTTCGGTACTAATCAAAAGTTTTGAAATTAATCATACTTGACAATACTTCCTCCATAAAAATTCAAGTGAAAATTACGAGGTCACCCTATATGACCCCGATCAATCAAGAAAGAGTGAGTCTGAGCGGTTAATTTTGATCTTTGGGTGACCATAAAGCTCGTTTGCCCCACGGGCGAGGCCCACTGACAAAAAAATGATTGCTGGTGACATAATGGATGCGATGTCATTTTTCGCCAAAAACTATTTCTTTTTTTTTTTCCAATCGATGTTGATTATAAACTTCCATAGAATGAAAGATTATTTTCTTCTGTGTGTTGCGTCACCTCAGGAAGTGGGCGATCATAGCTCTACACAACTTCCTATACCTTTTAACTCTTGTTATCCCACCCACGCCCGTTCTGCCATTCATTCACGCAAGCTGACCAGGTAGCTAGTCCGTTGCCTTCAGCGTTCTTTTTGCCTTCGATATGTCTTGTGAATGTCAGATTCTCCAAGCCGGCCTTCCTCATTACGTATTCAAGAAATTTCAGCTGTCTTTTTCTGATTCTGAGTATAAGTGTCCTTTTTGTATACATTTTCCTTAAGCCTTTTTTTAATCATTGTACCCCAAGCAAAAGGATAATGCCACTATGACGCAAATGGGTTACTAGGAATGAAAGAGAATAAGAAGTGAATGAAATGATCTTGACTAGAATTCGAACACGACTCTCCGAATCCTCAATCCGAGCCAATATCCATTACTCTCTCTTTACTACTATATACCATATATTAATGAATACACGTGTTTGCGTAAACTTCTGTTTTTGTTTTTAATATAAAGGGGACGAAAACACTTTTGATTTTAACATTGAAATTAAAATGGAAGTAGTGTTACAGGGGCGGCAGTACGAACGAGTGTGAAAGGGTCTTGTTTGGGTGTGTCGTCTAGGGTCTTGTTTGGGTGTGTCGTCTAGGGTACCTAACTCATAAAAGGGATGAAAGATATCACACGACAATGGAGATAAGACGCAGTTAGAGTTTAAAAAAAAAGGATTTATTCACGTTTTCGCTTCAGGCGATATACAGAAATGATTAGAGAGTTCGCTTTAAGCTTCTACTGCATACGTGGGAGTTGTGCTGTGTTTTAGGAAGATCAGGTGAAGAAAATATACGCATAGTAGGAGTCTAGGTTTTGCGTAGTAGGCTGGGCTGTTACTATTGGCATCAGACTGCTAGTACCTCTATGACTAACTTCGTTCGTCGGCATTGAGCTTCAGTATGTAGATGTCTTCATCGAGTATTCGGTCAAAAATGGGCGTGGGACAGACCATAGCAGTTCGACTGTGCCTTCTGCTGAGAAGTCGAATTGATGGCGGTTTATATAGTATTTGTGCTCGAAAACATTTTTTTTCTGTGTGGATGTTTTCCATTAGTTTTTAATTTTTCTTTTTTTTTTTTGTTTTGTTTCGGAAGTTCAGCCATTTTTTTGGCATTTAGACGATAGCTATCGAGGTGAGCAAATCCGTTATAGCTGAAAGTGTTCTCCGACAGGCTTCTATACTAGGCCACAAAAATCTCCTGAGCCGACCAAGCATAGAAATAAATACAATATGGGAACCAGTAATAAGGAGTGCCAGAGAAAAGCAACGATAATAACATAATTGCAATATGAGCTCTGGTAAAAAAAAAAAAAAAAAAAAAAAATGATAACAGCAAAAACTTGCAATATGAGCACTGGTAAAAATGGTTGCTGAAGACATTAAGTTTATAATACCCAGAAATTCATACCTCAAGGACACATAGCACAGTGAATAAAGGCGTTGGTTAGATCCAGTGACAGGACCCAAAGAGTGTTAGTTCAATACCCGGTTATGGTAGTGGAGAACTTTCAGTGGGAAAATAACAGGAGATAACTGATAACTGACATCCATCAAACATGGTACGTGGAACTAGAACAGTCTACGCAGGTGAGTTCGACATTCCAACCACCTGAGCTTACAACGGCCGAAACGTTGTGATAAATATGGCGACAAAGATGAGGACAATAGTCCGAATAATGTAAATAATGTACATAATATCCAGATCATCTCAGAAATACGGCAACAAATAGACAGATACTGAAATGGCCGAAAACGAAACGTTATTGTAATAAATATGGCGACGAATAAAGATGAGGACAATAGTCCGAATAATGTAAATAATGTAAATAATGTACATAATACCTCATCTCAGAAATATAGACAGATACTGAAGGGTCGAAACGTTATAATAAATATGGCGACAAAGATGAGGACAATAGTCCGAATAATGTTAATAATGTACATAATACCTCATCTCAGAAATATAGACAGATACTGAAGGGTCGAAACGTTATAATAAATATGGCAACAAAGATGAGGACAATAGTCCGAATAATGTTAATAATGTACATAATACCTCATCTCAGAAATATAGACAGATACTGAAGGGCCGAAATGTTATAATAAATATGGCAACAAAGATGAGGACAATAGTCCGAATAATGTAAATAATGTACATAATACCTCATCTCAGAAATATAGACTGCTTCTACAGAAGTGACAAAAAAGATAATAATTTTATGAGATAATTTGAAATCAAGGCTGATATGTTGTTGTTTCTTTGTATAATTGGTTTGTTTTATCAAAAGTTTATAAATTCACTACGGGAATCAAAACATTGTATTTGTCCTTAATATTTATTACGATATTATGCGTAAAACACTTTTGTGTTTTGTTCCTAAATTGCAAAAGATACGGCGTGAAATTTACGCGCAATTTTGGTAGTTATATTCGGTATGTTTCTCTTTCGGTTGTCATTAGGTGAAATGTAGTTTTCTGTTCTCGTCAAGAAGATCCTCAATCAGCGTCGATGTCCATCCTGTCATTTTCCTTTTATATTAATTGTTTTTATTCTATATGTGACAATTATTTAACAGTTAATAAAAGACTCCAAAGTTCCATCTTTCTTTTCACGTCTTTTTTCTTTCTATAGTTTTTCCTTTATTTTTTCATTTACTTTGTCTTTATCTTTTTTCTGTCTTTATCCCACATTTTTCCTTCGCTCTCTTTTGTTCTTTCTCTTCTGTCTTTTTCTTTCTTTTTATACTTACTTTCCTTTTTTGTTTTCCCTCTATTCATTGTTTCATTCCTGTAGTTTTTCTAATCTTTTTTTCTTTTCCTTTTCTTTTTTCTCTTCTTTTTTTAGTTTTCTTTTTAATTTCTTTTTTTCTTTTCTTTTTTCTTTTTAATTTCTTTTTTCTTTTTAATTTCTTTTTTCTTTTTAATTTCTTTTTCCTTTTTAATTTCTTTTTCCTTTTTAATTTCTTTTCTTTTTGTTTTGTTTTGTTTTCTGTTTTCTTTTTTCTTTTTTACTTTCTCTTTTTTCTTTGTCCACTTTTTCTTCACTCTTTTGTTTTTTTACTTTTTATTTTTATATTTTCTCATTTGCATTTTCTATTCTCCCTCTCAATTTTTCTTACCTTTTCTTCCTCTTTTCTTTTCATCTTCCTCTTTTCTTTTCATCTTCCTCTTTTCTCTTCGAACCAACCCTACCCCGTACTCCCTAATGGAGACTACCATACTTGAATGAATGAGGGAATAAACCGGCCCTACGTCAAACTGGTTGGCTCAAGACGCATGTCTACCTTTTTTACTCTGAACCCATGTCTGCTTTATTACTCGGTTGTAAATTTGACCAATGATTTTTCTGAATTTATTCGGTTTTGGTGTTCGTATAAAATCGGACTAACTTCCTGGAATTTAGTGAAAACCGAATATAGGTCTGCCTTTTTGATTCTTGTGCAAACCGGTGGTATGTCTCCCATTTTTACTCTTGTGCAAACTGAAGTTATGTCTACCTTGGCTAAGCTTGATGTGTACATTTTAGACTTTAGTGTTTACTGAACCTTTATCTATCTCTTAATCCACAGGAATTTTCTCTTATAAGATTTATAGTAGACATTATATGACCTAAGTGTTGATAGATCAAATTAACCAGTATAACCGATACATGCTTTTCTTTCTTTCTTTCTTTCTTTTTAGTTCTCTGCTTCTTTTCTTTTGAGATTTCTTCTTTTTCTCTTTTCTTTTTTTTATTGCATTTTCCCGCCACCTCTTTTTGCCCGCATTTCTTCCTTTATTGCATCTCTTTTCTCTTTTAATTTTTCCCTCTTACAGTTTTTCTTACTTTTTTCGTTCGTTTTTTTCTTCTTTTCTACTTCTTCTTTTCTTTTTTTTTTTTTTTTTTTTGTACTTTTTCTCTTTTATTTTTTATTTTCCTTTTCTTCTTTATCTCATTTCCCTGCCATCGCTTTTTAACCCCTTTCTTTATTCATGGCATCCATTTTCTATTTTCTTTCTCATTTAAATTTTGTTTTAACTGTCTTACATTTTTTCTTTCTCTCCTTATTCGTTTTTCCCTTTCTACGTCTTCTTTTCTTTTAGTTTTTCTCTTTTATTTCAATTTCTTCTTTCCTTTCTTTTTTATTTCATTTTCCCGACACTTCTTTTTGCCCTCTTTTCTATCCTTTTATAGTATCTCTTTTCCCTTTTCGTTCTCTTTTAAATTCTAAATGTTACTTTCTTATTGTTTTTGTATCTATCTTTCTTTTTACTTTCTTTCTTTTTTCTTTTTACTTTCTTTCTTTTTTCTTTCTTTCTTTTTTCTTTCTTTCTTTTTTCTTTCTTTCTTCGTTCGTTTTTTACCCTTTCTACTTTTTTTTGTTTTTCTCTTTTATTTGTTTTTCTCTTTTATTTCTTTTTCTTCTTTCCTTTCTTTTTTATTTAATTTTCCAGTTACTTCTTTTTGTCCTCTTTTTTTCCTTTATGGTAACCCTTTATTATTTTCGTTTTCTTTTAAATTTTTACTCTCTTACTATTTATTTATTTATTTATTTGCATTCGACATCTTTTTGTTTTCTTTGTTTTACTCTTTTATTGCGTTTTCTTCATTCCTTTCTTTCTTATCACATTTTCCCGCCATTTCTTCTTGTCCTTTTTTTTAATCCTTTTATTGTATCTCTTTTGGTTCTCTTTTAAATTCTGAATGCTACTTTCTTACTCTTTTCTGTATCTCTCTTTCTTTTTTCTTTCTTTCTTTCTTTCTTCGTTCGTTTTTTCCCTTTCTACTTCTTTTTGGTTTTCTTGTTTTTCTCTTTTTCTTCTTTTCATTCTTTTCATCTCATTTGCCCGTCACTTCTTTTTGTCACCTTTTTCATGTATTGTAATCTTTTATTATTTTCGTTCTCTTTTAAATTTTAATTTTTACTCTCTTACTCTTTTTCTTTCCTTCTTTCTTTTTCGCTTTCTACATGTTTTTGTTGTTTTTCTCTTTTATTGCGTTTTCGTCTTTCCTTTCTTTTTTATCTCATTTTCCCGCCATTTCTTTTTGTCCTCTTTTTATTCCTTTACTGCATCCTTTTCGCTTTTCGTTCTCTTTTTAAATTTTGATTTTTTCTTTTTTTATTTATTTACTTACTTTCTTTCTCCCCTCTTTCGTTTTCCCCTTTCTACTGCTTCTTTTTCATTTTTCTTCTTTTTCTTTTTTCTTCTTTTTCTTCTTTTTCTTTTTTCTTCTTTTTCATCTTTTTCATTTTTCTTCTTTTTCTTTTTTCTTCTTTTTCTTCTTTCCTTTCTATTTTATCTTATTTTCTCAACACTTATTTTTTTTCAAACCCGTTTCCGTTATTGCATCTCTTTTCACTTTTCGTTTTCTTTTAAATTTTCATTTTCCCTCTCTTACACTTTTTCTTTCTCTCTCCTCTCTCCTCTTTATTCTTTCTTTTACTTCATACATTTTTCCCTACATTTCTTTCTTCCCTGCCCAATTTGCATCCAACATTTCTACAAATTCTACAAAGATATTAATTACATTCTGCTGCTTTCGCGTCCACGATTCCCTCCTCTGCAGAAAACGTCGACAACAAATTCTCCATTTTTCGCCGATTTCCCACTGTGACGTTTTATCAGCTTATATAAGTTTAGCTTAATGAGGTATTCCCTATCTATTCAGCCACGTCTTTTTTTTCCTCAATCAGACAATCGTCTGACGTTCAAATAATCACACGTGGGATAGATCTATTTTTAAAATTTAATTTCTCACCCTTATTACATATGTCTGTCAGTCTTCTGTGGGTTTAATTACTTTTCAATCTGTTTATCTATTTAATCTTTTTATGTCTGGGAATATTTTAGACACTGTTTATTAGTTCTATTATCGTGGCACATACCTGAATACCAATAGATACACTCAAGTATGAACAAACGAATAGTTATAGACTCAAGTATAAAATCGACCAATGTTTACCGCGAGACTCATTTATAAACCCGACAAATGTTTACCTACAGACACAACTATGAAATCGACAAAAAAAGTTGGTTCTCTGTGTCGTACCAGAAAATTTTTCTCGTCTGAGTCCATCCTTCAAATCTATAAATCAACCATCTGTCCTTGCATGGAATATTGCTGTCGTATATGGACTGGTGCCCCTGCTGTACATCTTGAGGTCCTCAACAAAATCAAGAGATGAATATGCAATGTGATAGGTCTACAGTCGCTTTCTCACAGACGTGCCGTGACTTCCCTCTGTCTCTTCTACAAATATTTTCACGGCAACTGTTCCAACAAGCTACTTTCTTGGTTCCCAGACTCCATGAATTTGAGAGGCGTAGTATACATAGGATTAGGAAGAGTTCATTCTGTAGTTATAGGTAAGGACCCATGACAGTTACTTACTTTTATGTACATTGTCCCTTCAGGACGTTGCTGCTCATAGCTGCCCACAATTTTCTAGACTTTCTAGCACAATTTAATGTTTGTGTTCACGCTATCTTCCTCAGTCCCTATTCTGGTACACATTTACAGAAATTTGGGAAAGTTGTCTCTCTGTGTCGTGTCAGAAAGTTTTTCTCGTCTGAGTCCATCCTTCAAATCGAGAAATCAACCATTCGTCCTTGCATGGAATATTGCTGTCATATATGGTCTGGTGCTCTCGCTGTTCGTCTCGAGGTCCTCGACAAAATCCAGAGATGAATATGCAATGTAATATGTCCTAATCTAGCATCTAGTCTACAATCGCTTTCACACGGACGTGCAATGGCTTCCCTCTGTCTCTTCTACAAGTATTTTCACGGCAACTGTTCCGACGAGCTACTTTTGCTGGTTCCCAGGCTCCATGAATTTAAGCGAGCTACCAGGCTGGCGTCTCGGTCCCACACTTTCACTGTCAAAACGGGTAAATATACTCGTCTCTCCTACACAAACGTCTTCTTTAGCACTTCCCGTCTATGGAACTCTCCTCCTTTTGCTTGCTCCCCGATGACTATAATCTCAAAATTATTCAAAGTCAATTGACACCTGATACCTTGATCTTGTTCCGCGTCCTTCTCTGTATCCTTTCCTCAAACACGCCTCTTTACTCTTGTTCTCAATCCTCTATAACCCCTTGCGTTTTAGGGTTATTGTATTTTATTTATGTTCATTATTATTATTATTATTATTATTATTATTATTATTATTATTTTAATTAAATTTATTATTATTATTTTATTTAAATTTAATTCATTTTAAATAATTTTAATTTATTAAAAATAATTTAATTATTTTAATTTAATTATTTTATTTTTAATTTAATTATTTTAATTTAAATTTAATATATTTTAAATAGTTTTAATTTATTTTAACCAAAGTTTTAATGTTAGTTATTAATTCTATTGTATTTTATTTATGTTCATTATTATTATTATTTTATAATTTTATTATATTATTGTTGTGGTAGGATCCACCTAATTTGCATAGTGGAGTACCGACCATATAAATATGGTTGGTACCGGGAAGAGAGTAGAAGGAATCAAGAGATTCAATCCAGAGAGTCTGCCCGACTGCGACTCAGTCAACACATTCTCCAGGAATATACAAAAGACTATATGTAAATATTGTGTACACTTTCTTGTTTCAATACATTTTGTTCTAAGTACATTTTGTGTTGCATTATTATTCCATGCATTAGTCAAGTTTCAACAATTATTTAGCAAGAGCGAAAGAGACTTTATCCAGCATTTTTGGTGCAAAGTAATTTTCCATATATACCTTGCTTGGGGTGAATTGCTTAAAAAAAATGTTTACCTACAGACACAACTATGAAACTGACAAATGTTTACCTATAGACTCAAGTACGTAAGCGGCCATTGTTTGACTACAGACTCAAGTATAAACTCAACGAATGTTTACTTTGGTATCCAAATATAAATCCGACCAATGTTCACCTGGAGACACGTTTATAATACTGTCAAATATTTACCAATAATCTCAAGTAGGAAACAGATGTTAACCTATAAACTTTTAAAATGGGGGAAGTCGTTGATTTGGGATGCGACCTGTGCGGATACATTTTCGGCCGGTAATTTGATCAGGTCCGCGGTTGAGCCGGGTTCCGTCGCCCGGGACGCAGAGGTGAAAAAAATAGTTATAGTTAAATATTCTTCTCTTGCTGATAAATTTATTTATTTTTTTTTTTACTCCTGTGGCAGTGGAGACTTCATGGGTTATTGGCTCTCGTTCGATGGCGTTCCTTCGGAGGATTGGCGCGATTGCGTCTCGATTAAGAGGCGAGCCACGCGAAACGGAGTGGCTCTTGCAGCGTGTCTCACTAGCCATGGTTCGAGGTATTGCTTTCTCCATCATTGCGGCTGGCAGAGGTTAGAAAAAATTGTTTATAGTTACGTTGTTCTGGAATTGTCATCAGTGGTCAACTGAACTTGTTTTGTTTAAATAAATTTACCTGATAAAAAAAAAAACTATAGATTCAACTATGAAACCGACCAATGTTTACCTAAAGACTCAAGTGTGGAAAGGACCAATGTTTACCTATAGACTCAAGTCTGAAACCAAGCAAAATTTACATATTGTTTCAAGTATGAAACCGACCAATGTTTACCGATAGACTCCCGTGTGAAACCGACCAATGTTTACCTAGGGATTCATATATAAACCCGAATAATTTTTACCTCGAAACTCGAGCATGAAATTGACCAATATATAAAAAAAAATAAGAAAATTATAATTCAACAACAACTTATGTTAAGCCTTACATTTTATCATTTAGCGTCTTCCATACTTTAGCTTTACTTCCACAGGTAACATTAAAAATATTTTAGAACGTTCTTAAATCTACAGTTTCGAAAACAATATCTTTCCTCCATTTCCGTTTACTAAATACATGTTGCAAAATAAAATTCATTACATTTGCCTTGATAAAGTCTCTCAGGGGACGAAAGGAGTTCGTAAAGAAGAATTTTCTTTCTGTCTTTATTCATCATTT